ATATTCTCTATCTTTGTGTATAATAACATATTAAAAGATAATTTTATGCTGAGTATTTGAAATTTTTTTTTTTCTCGTTATTCTTATTCTCATTATTCAATATAACGTTCCAAATTGTTCGTTGCTTTAATCTATTCCAAAATATAAGAATTATATATGTATATATATATATATTATTAATAAAAATATACATATACTTAGATAATAAACAAAATTATATATTATATTATTACCATATTATCAAAATATGTCATTTTGATATTTAAAATCATCATTTGAAAATTATTTTGTAATAACGTATTTATTAAATTCAAGTCAATAATTAAAAATATTGTTGTATGTTAAATAGAATAAAATAAAATAAATAATTTTATTAATTAGAAATATGAATTATAATTATTTTAAAATTTCTATTTTCTAGGCGGAGACGAAAATTGCTCCGAAATTATCAAACGGAACCAATGGACTAATATAAAAGCAAAAAATATAAATTATTTAATTATTCCCATTCCATATGTTATAATTCATCATACAGTTTCTTCAGAATGTAATTCCAAAGATACATGTATTTCTAATATCGAAAATATTCGTTCTTATCACATGGATACCAATGAATGGCATGATATCGGATATTCTTAAGTATCATTTTGAATAATTATCTATTTATTTTTTTTATTTTAATATAATATGATATACTTGATATATATAATAAAATATTTAATTCAAAATAATTAATAATATATTTTATTTCATTAACAAAATTTTCTTTCTTTATTGATTACTTTTATATCTTATTAATTTTATAAAAATCTGTTAAAAATTATTTATATTTTAAATTTTTTATAAAATAAAAATAATAATTATATAAAATAATTAATATATTATTTATTATTATTATTCAACAGATTTTTAATTGGTGGAGATGGAAATATATACGAAGGTTGTGGCTGGAATCATGAGGGTGCTCATACATATGGATATAATAAAAAATCTATTTCAATTGCTTTCATAGGAAATTTTCAAAGTATTTTTTTTATACTTTATTTTATAATTTAGTTTTAATTATAAATTTATATTAAATTTAAATTTAATAATTTATTATTTAGAAAAAAGTGCAAGTAACAAAATGCTGAATGCTGCACATAAATTAATTCTTTGTGGTAAATCACAAGGAATACTTAGGGAAGATGTTCGGGTAATCGGGGGTAAACAAGTTATAGCTACGCAAAGTCCTGGATTTGAACTTTATAAACAAATTCAAAGTTGGCCTGAATGGGTTTCTTCTCCATAATCATATAATTTTAATTAAATGTAGTACTTATTTAGTAATTACTAAATGATATTTTTTAGCAAATAATATATTTACATTATACTTTTATCAAATAAATTGATGCATCATAAAACCAAATATTTTTTAACATTTATTTTTTCATGCAGATTTATTAAATAATTTTTTAAATAAAATTTTCTTTTTTTAATAAAATTTTATAAATACATATTAATCAAAAATTTAATTTATTCATATTCTTAATACAGAAAAATACTTTTTTTTATATATATTTTATATAATTTTACATTTTTCGTATGTTTTTCTAAGAAAAGAAATTATTATATCATATGAAGAATTTTTTTTTTCAATAAAGTTCTTCTATTTTATTTTACAAATGATTCATTTTTACATTAAATTCATATTAATTTTATAACTAACAATACAAGTTTATATATTAACAAAACAAATTTCTATCATCGGGAATTATAATTAATTTAAACATAAAGTCAATCTTAAGTGATTTAATCTTAATTTCTACTAAAAATGTTGACCAGTGTATTTAATAAATGAAAAATCTATTGAATTTGAATCAATTATTTGCATATGTGAATGCAACGCAAATGAATCATTTCATTTTGAAATCGATTTTAAAATGTTATAGAATTTTTCAAATAAAGATAAAGAAGTCTTCAAAGTTGCAAATTTTTGTCAACTTTTATAAAAATTATTTTATAAAAAGAAAAAAATTTTATCTTTGTAATTAATATCATACAAATTTTTTTTTGTTTTAGTTTTAATCTAAAAGAATGTTTTTTTATATTATAATTATTTTTGTGATATATCTAAATTTCAAATTTAGATCTGAAAAAATATATTTTTATATTCTATGATCTTATTTTTTCAAATTGAAAAATTGCTTTTTAATTTTTAATTTATTTAAATTTTATTATTTTATCATTACTTTATCATTATATAATTTTTCCATAATATATAATTTCATTTAGAAATATTCAAATTGTTTTTTTTCAATTTTTTTCAATTATACGAAAACAATATTTTGAATATATATAAATATATATTAATTATATATAAATAAAAAACAAATTTATTTTCACATATTTTTTTATAATAATAATCTTGGCAGACTATTTAGAAAATTCTTTGATATTTGTTTATTCAAAATGAACTTTTCTTAAACAATTTCAACGACTATAGATGCTGATGCAAGCTCTTATAAAATAAATAAATTAAAATGTATCAAATTACAAAATATCTAGATAATGTAAAGTTTTTAATTCATTATTATAAAATTTAATTCTTTTATATTTTCTACGTATTTGATGTTTTTTTTATTTATTTCTAATTCATAATTATATATATTAATATTTTTTTATGAAGATATAAATAAAATTTTTTTATAAAATATCTTTAATAATTAATTTGATGAATTTAATGAATGATGAAACAAAAGAAATAATAATAGTTCTAATCGAAGCACAAATAACGTAATATATATCACATAAATGAAAAGTATAAAAATCATTTTGAAAGTAACATTATTAATAATAAAATTGATAATTATTTTATTATTATTTTCAAAAAATAGAAAATAGTTGGAATAGATGGAATAGATGGAATAATGATTGGGGTAGACATGTATAGCATGGTAATCATTAGTATATAAACCTTGATATAATTGAAAAAAAAAATTGCTACTTATTGTTAACAAAATTTTCAATATAAAATAAAATGTTATTAAAATATAAAATTATTGTACAATATTTGTTAATTTTCTTTTTTAAGATAATATTATAATTTTTATAATGCAGTTATTTCTTATAAATATATGTAATATTTATAATATAATTTATTTTGGATTTTTATATGACTTATATATTAATCATATATTTATTTCTAACTGTATTAATATTATTTTTTATCAAATTATCATTATCATTAAATTCTTCATCCTTTCCTTTCATTTTATTAATTATATTATTATATTATCTTCAATACAATTCAATACAAATTAATATTATCAGGAAAAAATTATACAAAATTGAGCAAAATTTATTGGTTTAATGAAACAATTGTATACTTTATACAAAATTTCTATATAATATAATGAACGTTTACAAAGAAATACATCATTTAGTGTTCAATTATGGAATGAAATAGAATATTTATGGTTTTAAATTTAATTTCACTACTTCTTGACGAATAACAGAAATTAGTTCTTGATTTATTAAAAATATAAATCTCAAACCTGCAATCTAAAAAATGACATAGAAAATATTATATCTCTTATAAATATAATACTATTATAATTATATAATAATTATAATATTATAATATTATAATATTATAATATTATTTATATACACTATTATTTATACAGAAGAAATTAAATTTTTATTTAATATTTCATTTTATAATAAAAATGCAATTTAATACCTCGATTACACTATTATTGTTAAGCTTCATTTTATTTCCTGCAAGAATGGGTCTACTATCTACAAAAATTGGTCGTTTTCCCTCCGAAGAAAGAAAGAAATCTCCATTATTTCTTAATCGAATAGTTCCTTGTCTTCGTGAAACTTTCCAAGCTGGACCTTCTAATGTCAAATCTACATCCACATTATGATCTTTTGTTGAACGACCTACAGTAATCTAAAATATGAAGTAGTTGAATAAAAGAATAAATAATAAGTTCAAATAAAAAATATATTTCATATAATGTAATTCTAAAAATATTAAAATCTTACTAAAATTTATAAATAATTATTCTAAAAATATATATATATATATATTTTTCTCTCTCAGAAATAATATAATGATATTTTTTTTAAATTACCTCTCGTGATCTCATTAAATATCTAACAAGTCTTCCTCTAAGTATTGCCAAAGTTTGATTATCAAAATCTGGTGAATTTACTCCTGTTACACTATCAACTAAAACTTGCCATCTACTCAATTCATTTTCTAACACTTTTATTTCTCTTTTATTTCTCCTATCTGCTGCAATAAGTTCTGCATCTACTAATTCATCTTTTTGTTCAATTAATTCTGTATCATTAATCATCTCTTCTGCATCAGAAAAATTAAGAACATGTTCACCTCGTGGTAAGCTTTGTACAGTTTGATCAGGAAGAAGATGATATTGTTTCATTAACTGCCAATGAGCTAATAAAGCTTTTGCCGTTCGAGCAGAATAAAATGTATGAGCATTAGCTTCAAGAAGTTCTTGAAATACTTCTACTGTAGGTTGAGAAGTCTAAAAAAATAAAAAAATCTTATTATTTAAAAAATACATGAAATTTAAAATAATTATTAAATACATCTTATATTTACTAATATAAATAATTTTATTAAATTAAAATATTTAATTACCGATTTTATTGTACCCAAAAGATCTTCCTCTGCTTTGCTATATAAAGTTCTTGCTTGTACACTAGCAATTAATTCTGGATGTAAATTACGCATAGCTTGAACTGCAACTCTTGAAACTGCACTATCATATAGCAAAGCATACCATCTTTGTTGTATTTCTTGTAATGTAAAACGACAAGAAAATTTTGTACCTCTATGTACCTGTACAGATTACATTAATTAATATGTTGCATTAATGAATTTTTATTATCATTATTATTTAGCAATTTTTAAAGAAAATAATAATATCACTCAATTAATAATAACGATTTTTTATATTATTTATAAGTATTTACAGAAAAAAAATAAATACCATTCTTAAATCATTTGTCTGCTGTACACCAGTAATTAGTGCTAAATCATCTGTTGGTTTCCATCTTCCTAAATCTTTTGTTGCATTCACAGAATGTGAATGATTTTTATTTTTTTTATTTTTTCGTCCTGGAGCATTTGAAGCTCCTGGTCTATTTGTTCGTCTATTACATCTATCTGATTGAGAAACATTTGTAGAAATCTGAATGGGACTTGATGCATTTTGTTGTGGAACAGCAGATTCTATTGGAGTAGTAGAAAGTGAGACAGTTCTAGATCTAGCAGCAGATTTTGTACTTGTAGCTGGAGGTTGTAAGTTAAATGTTGTTTCAACAAGTTCATCATCAAATTTTCTACGTTTTATTGTACGTGAAGAACTAAAAGTTTAATAAAATATACAAAATTTTGTTATTAATATATTTTTTTATTTAAATTTATTTAATAAATATATAAATCTTTAATCAAGAACTAAATTTTATTCATTATAAGTATAAATCTAGTATCAAAAATTTAAACAAATTGAATTATGGAAATTATAATTTATTCAGTAATATTTACTTTAATTATTTATTTAAAATACTATATAATTATTTCTAAATATACTTATCTTTTATAATAAAAATATATTAATAGAATTAATAATAGTCTATGAATTCTATTAAATGGTTTAAATATTTGTATGATTTACATATTTGTATTATTTAATCTTAAAAAAAGAGAATAATATTTACACAGAGAGTTTAAATATTATTATCTTTTATTAATGACTGTACAATACATAACTGTACAATAATATAAATTTCTACAAATATCTTTTAAAATTATAAAATATCTTATAAAATATTTTATAAATATTTAATGAATTTTATATTAAATTAAATATAAAATAAAGCAATCCCAACTAAACAAATGATTTGTTTTGAAATAATCACATAAATTATATTTTTTGAATTCAAAAATCATAGATCTAATAATTTGTATGATAAGCATTATAATTCTATAATATTTATAATTTGTTTTTAAAGTCTTTGAAAAATTTTAATTATATTGCTATCAATCAAGTATTTCATATTTCTAATTTGTCATTTTATTTTTTTATCAAAAATTTTCATTCAAATTTTTATTAATATATTATATTATATATTATATTATATTATGCTATATAATATACTATAATATATGATTATTATAATATAATTTACATTTTATATTTTTTTAACACAAAATGATATTCTTTAATCACAAAATAATTAAAATAAATTTCATTTTATAAACATGCATAGAAATTTTCAATTATAAAACATAAAACATTCATTAAACAAAACAAAAATAATTATTAACAATTGATATGGGAAAATATTTCAATTATCATAATATGTGAAATATAATTTGTTAAAATTATAAATACTACAATAATACAATATTGATCAAAACTAATCTCATATTTTTATTTTATATTTTTATTCTTTCTCATATTTATATTCTTTGCTCTATAGATATAAAATCAGTTTTATTTGTTAATACATTATTTATATGTAAATGTAAAATTAATAAACACCTTCTACGTTTTGTTGATAATGGATCCAAATTTGGAGATTCAATAGATATATTTAAAAATCCATCAGTATTATGCGAAAATCCATGATTTACATTTGAAGGAGTTGGAATATCCATAATTTTATAGGTTAGTTTATTATAAGTAGCTAATTACCACATATACATCAATTATGTCATTATTATGTAAATAATGAATCATTCACAATATTTTAATAAATATAGATTATTAATTAATTTCACAATATTTAATGTACATTTAATTAAAATGTTCTATGCATCAAATATTTTAAGTAATTTTATTTCAAGAAGAGAAACAATTTTAGTAAACATAATAGTTAGTAGTATAGCCAATATATAAAGAAAATAAAACTATGAAATAAAATAATAATATTTCATGTTTACTTATAGTTCTTATATTTAAAAAAAATTATCTGTTATGTATACTATAATTTTTATTTTATAAAATATAGATTTTTTACTTTTTTTTAGAATCATCATATAAATATTTTGACAAAAATATTTTAAAAATAAAATAATATATATATATATATAATATTTGTATTATTTGTATTATTAAATAAATACTTTTAAATATACAGGATATATTTTAATATATTTATGAAACATTTTTGGAAAATCGATCTTAAAGGATAAAATAAAATATTAAGATTTATTTAATAAATTATAAACAATTTTAATCAAATTTATTTATATGAAACAAGATAGAGATAAATTGAGATAAATTGAGACATCAATATGATGAAATCATATTATTCTATTTATGTCTAGTTTCATTAATGCAAATCTAAACTACAATCTTAATAAATAAAATTAATATTAAAAAAACTAATACAAAGATATTATAAATATATTAACATTTTGTATGTAAATTTAATTATTTATAAACATTATCATCTGAAATAAAATATTTTAAATATTTTATGAAAAAAAAAAAAAACAAAATGAATATTTTACTTAATGAAATTATATTGTGATATATTTTTTTTTTATTTTCGTTTGTACATATTGTTTTTTTTTTTTTAAAAAAAAAAAAACAATATGTACAAACGAAAATAAAAAAAAATATATCACAATATATTTTCATTAAGGAAAATATACATATTGTTTTTTTTTTTTTAAAAAAAAAAAAACAATATGTACAAACGAAAATAAAAAAAAATATATCACAATATATTTTCATTAAGGAAAATATACATATTGTTTTTTTTTTTTTAAAAAAAAAAAAACAAAATGAATATTTTACTTAATGAAATTATATTGTGATATATTTTTTTTTTATTTTCGTTTGTACATATTTTTTTTTATTAAAACCTATCATTTACGTAATTTAAAAGTTTATTGTTATAATTATTTGTATTCTTTTTTATATATTATATTTAATATATGAATTTCTATATAAATAAAAAAAAATATAAAAATTATAATTAAATTTTTAAATGATTATGATCAATTATTTTTTATAAAATATTGTAATATAAGTTTTTAAATTTACCAAATTATTTTCAAAATTCATAATAATCTAATGATAATAGTAGTTCATAATAGTTTGATATTTTAATTCATGTAATAAATAATATATGTAATATATGTAATAAATTTATTTACTTTTTAAAAAAAATAATTATTAAAAATCTTCATTTATTTGAAATATATAAAAATGTAAAGATATAAATTTTTAGAAAGATAATAAAAATAATTATCCTCAAATGCTAAAATTTAGTTATAAATTAATTCATACATAATGTTTGTACAATGTAAAATAGAACAAAATATAATTTTTTTCTACATATGTGTGAAATTGAACTTTATATGAAATAATTACAAAAATTAAATAGGAAATAATAACAGTAAAAGAAATTTACCGGTATTATATCTATTATTTTCATTTCATATATAAATGTTTTCATTTATATATGAATTTCTCATGCAAGCATTATCATTAATTCCAAAATGCATATTTTTTTAAAATATGTTTACTTCTATCATGAAAAATAAAATTAAATAATACATACTATAGAATCATATTGATTTTCTTATTAATAAAAATATGATATTGAAAAACACATGTACTCATAATATTTATTATATCAAATTGATATTTTTTCAATATCGATAGCAGTCTGTTGGTAATATTCATTTACAAATTAATTAACATTAGCTTTTGTCTACAATATTTTCACGATCAAACTTTTTTTCTATATGAATTCTTTTTAAGTTTGTGTAAATACATATCATGCAATCATTTGAAATAGTTTCTTCTTTAAAAAAAAAAAAAAACATTTGGAAATATTTTAGTTTATGCAGTCATTTTTAATTAAATTTTTTTTATAAAAAGTAATCAGCCTGGGGCTTTTTACTAGGTATTCCTCGACTTTCTTGTGGTGCTGCTTCAAATATTGTGAACTCTCGTTGAAGATGTTCATTTAATTCTAATATTGCCGCAACATTTCCACACCTATTAAAAAATTTTATTAAAATTATGAAAAATCAAAATCATTCTTTTATGTTTTAAAATATATATATATTATATATACCTATAGCAGTAATTAGGTGCTGACCAAACGGTCAAAACAGTCTCATTAAAATGCCATTTATATCCTTCCATAACTAATTGATGTGCTCTACAAATCATATCAATGTCATTTGCGGAATTAAACTGTGCTACAACATCACTTCCAAAAAGATAACCAGCTCCACGTGGGGATACTCCCCAACCTTGAGTATCTTCAGGATCTGACCAAAGTAAATCACACATTGGACCATCGTGTGGTACCTACAAGAATATATTTATTAAATATTCTATTAAATCGTATGTTTATATTAAAGACATACATATAATTTATTTCTTTTTATTATGAACTTAAATATAATTCTTACTTCTTGTTTTCTATCTATAGTTCTTATTTGATCAAGCGTTTGAATGCTTGGAGATAATCCGCCATGAACACAAAATATTTTTCCATCAATTATAGCAGAAAGAGATAAATAATCAAATATTTCAGTACAATATCGCCAAACTGTAATGCTGCCATATTTACGTAAGCATTCATCATAGAAACCATAAACTTGTGTAATTTGTCGAGACTCATGATTTCCTCTTATTAATGTAATCCTATCAGGATAACGAACCTATAATTATATTAATAACTATTATATTATATATTATAAATGTAAAATAAATATAATACACATAATATAAAAAATATAATAAAAAATAAAAAAATTTTATACTACCTTTAATGCCAAAAGAAGAAGGAATGTTTCAACACTATAAAATCCTCTGTCAACAAAGTCTCCCATGAACAAATAATTTGTCTCTGGTACATCTCCTCCAACCTTAAAGAGTTCTTTTAAATCATAGAATTGTCCATGAATATCTCCACATACCTAAAAATAACTTACATCTTATATAAATTGTAATTATTATAATTTTTTACATTTTATTTTTATAAAAACATACAGTAACTGGAGAATCAACTCTTTGTACATTACTTTCTTCAATAAGAATTTCTCGTGCCTTTGCACAAAGAGCTTTAACTTCAGCTTCTTTGATAATTTCACATTTTTTTAGTTGTTCTATTTGCCGATCCAAATCGCTGGAATCAGCCATCTTATGAAATAATGACCTTCACTGAAAATTAAATAAAATATTTTTATAATATATATAATATATATTTATAATAATTTTAAAAAATTTAATATAATAATAATAAATAATAAATTTATATATGTATATAATAAATAAAAAATATATAAATAATATATGAAACTATTAAATATATAAAAATATATA